TGCCCTAATCTTTTATGTCATAACATAACTTGATCATAGTCAAAGCTTGAACTAGTACTACCTAATTCATGAGCTGTTTTATTCGCAGAATCAGTTCCATCATAATAGTACAACTCATTTATTTCTCTAGCAGTTCCAATCATCTTTCCCGAGTTTTGGTCCTGAAAAACATAATTGGAATGAGAGAAAAAAATGGAATAATCAGAATCTTTAGACAAATTGTTAACGGAAAGAAGATTACATGTAAGTTTTGGAACTTGTAAGACAGATTTCAAAGAGATTTTTTCTGAAATTTTAATATTTCATTTTCCTGCAATTGGTGAAAAACTGTCATCAGCAATTCTGATTTTTTCAGAACCGAAACATAGATAATATGAATCAAATAATTAAGAACAGCTTGTCATATGATCAGAGGCTCCTGAATCAATGATCCAAGGAGTGGTACTTCCTAAAAAGGCCAAATGATTACTATCTACTTGTGTTATAGAACCAATAGGCGCATTAGATGATGAGCAAGATTTCAGCAGCTTAAGAAGATTACTTAATTGCTCTTTACTAAGTGGAGATGACTCAGTCTCATTTGCAATAGGTGTGTTATGTTCACCAGATTTTTTTCCCTTACCATTAGGTGGTTTATTATGCAATTTCCAATATTTTTCGAGAGTATGGCGTGGCTTTCCTTACCAGTAGTCACAGTGCAGGTTGTTTTTTTCTTCTACACGCTGGTTATGAGAAGTTTTCCTACTTAATTGAGCTTCAGGAATAGCCAACGTTGATTCTTCCACGGACTCGATTGAGCCTGCAGTCTTCTTTCCCAACATCACATGTCTCTGACTCTCTTCTCTCCTTACCTCCGCAAAAACTTCACCAATTTGAGGCAGGGGATTTCTTCCAATTATTCGGTCACGAACCTCATCATATTCAATGTTTAAACCTATAAGAAATTTGAAGATTCGGCTAATATCCACTATCTTCTTGTATCGGTTGCCGTCATCGTTTGATTTTCATTCATGATCTTTGAATAAGTCCAGGTCCTGCCAAATTCGCTTAAGAGAATTGAAATATTCGCTTAAGGAATTGAAATATTTTGTCACAGAATTCTCATCTTGGCAAATTTCCCCAAGTTGTAGGGTCAACTCATACACTTAGGATTGATTTCCAAGATCAGAGTACATTTCTGAAACAGTCCCATAATTCCTTGGTTGTAGAGTAACACAGATAATTTGCACTTATCTCTTCAATCATAGAATTAACCAACCATGTCATTACCATTAAGTTTTCGGCATCCCAAATGGCGTAAGTTATGTCATTTACCTCAGGTTGTTTATTATCACCTGTGATATAGTCAATCTTTCTTCTTCTTCGGAGATACATGCGAACATATTGTGATCATCGAAGAAAATTATCACCATTTATTCGAATTGTAATGATTTGAATTGGATGATTTTCAGAGGTATTTCTCTGAGGTTTAAACTGAGATGACAGAAGAGGCTAGTTTGTCCTCAACGTGACTTCAGGCATTTTAAAGATGAAGGACGCTGAATTTGCTCGAGCCCAAGATTCGCCCGCCCCAGCAAAAGATTACCGTTTTCGGGATTGAGCAGTGAGTGGTACAGATCGAGCGGATAGCTGAGCCTTCGGAGAATTACCGAGCGGGATCGAGCTCTCAAGCCGAAGCGGCTTTCGCGAGACAGGATCGAGCGCAGGCGAAGCAAACGACTTTCGCAGGTTAAGCAGACCGAGCGGGATCGAGCTCTCAAGGCTAAGCGACTTTTGCGAGACAGGATTGAGCGCGAGACAAGATTGAGCGCGCGGTACAGAGCGTCGAACATACACGATACAGAGGATCGAGCGGCAAGAGCAGATCGCACCGGGCGTCGAACAGTTCCACGAGATGGATCGAGCGACAAGCGAACGTAACTCTGAGATCGACTAAGGCCAAGGATTCATATCTTACGTGGCTCTGATACTATGAAAAAATAGTGGAAAAATATTGGAGGGCTTATTCTTATTGATGCAAAGAGGGGTATAAATATTCATTACATGACTTATTGATAAGGAAAACAATAAAAATAAAATATAGTAGGTAAGGAAAGAAATAATAACAAATATAATTGGCAGCTAATCTCTCTAATTAAGGAGATAAAATAAATAGAGATTCCTAAGATCCCTCGTATAATTCATAACCCTCTAAATATCGAGTTATAATAAATATGGAATATAATCATCATTAGTTTTGTTAAGAACATTGTTATAGAACTTTTAAGGGGGTTTAGAAATAGATAAAATTGCTAAAGGATTTAATTTGAACCAGTTATTGTTTAACTTAGATGTATTAAAAGTACATTCAGTAGGATTTCAATTAAAGATGAAGCTGTGAAGACTTCCAGTAAATTTGGCAATATTATATTGAGTAATTGTTTAATACGACTGTGTTGGAATCCAAATATTTAATTATTGTGAAGCGTACAAAGATTGATCCGCAAAAGTGGTGCTTTGTTAGCTTTGATGACGATTCAAATTACTACCTATAGTCTGCTTAATAGAAGAAGGCTCGAGCTATCCTATTTACAGAATTTCTTGTTCTATACTCCAGATGTGAGAAACAGTTACTGTGCTAAATTACGGATGATATCGGGATGAACTTTCATCTGTTAAATTTGTTATATTGATATTTAACCTGTTATGCCTATTAGTTTTTTTCTTGATTTTTCAGATTAATGCACTTAACACTTTGTACATCATGTTCTGGAATGGAATAAGTAGGGATATCACAACCTGATACTTTTATTTTCGTGCAGTGATGAGCTTCTTTTACAAGAGGATAATTATGATGTGAGTTCGCTATCTTTGGGAATGTCTAATGGCATGCGGTTGGGCAATATAATGGGTCCTGCAACCTTAACCAGTGGAGTGATCAAATTTGGCCACGTTGCTAATCAAGCAATGACTAGTTCTAATTCAAGATTATCAAATCAAAGGTACGTGACAACCTTTCTAGAAAGCTGGTGGCATATGAATTTAGTATTTTCACCAACCTACTAATGATGTCATGCATATATTGTATGTCTAGAAGCAGTGTTAATCATAGGTTGAAAGGTGATTTTCAATGGCTTCTTATGTTTGTAATATAAATAACACGGGTTTTACTCCAAAGCTAAACCGGTTTGGCCCAAATCGGTTCAGTTATATCCTATTAAGCAGTGCTAATCATTGGTGTAAGGACAGTCGTCGACGTCCCCTTTTCCCTTTTCAGGGCTATATCCTAGGATGAGTGATGCTTTAGTTATATCTCATTCCGAGGTGGTGTCTATCCTCGACGTATCCCTCCTCCCTCGCTGCCACATCTCCTTCCACCTACACAGCATTCCTCCTCTGAATTTCCTGCCGCCCAAGCAGAGAACTACCTACTATTATCAGCAGCCAACTCACAGCACCGTTCCTACTCCCCAATTCCTATTACCGACAGATCCTGCTATTGCCATCTACAGTTGACGCTACCTCACTGTTTCCTTACCGAACTTTGTACCCGCCCCTACAGCAACACCCGCAACTCCCCAAGTCCATTCCCAGACCAACCCGTAACATCCCGCCTTTCTGCTACAATCCCAAACACCCCTCCTTTCTGCCACAACCCCAAACGCCCCCTCCTTGCTACAACTCAAAGCCCCCTCCAACCTTCTGACCCTTACAGCAACCCCCATTCCAACTCAAAACTGCTGCCATAGACCCATATCCATCCCTCCTATTCCTACCGCCGCCCTTGACTTACCTCCCCGCTGCTGCGCAACCCTCACATACAATATTCTCCTACCGGTCAGCCTCCACCCATCCCTTTCGCCTTCTCCCTAGAGTATCATTTTGATGTTTGCTGTCATTTATTTCTTATTTTTGAAGAGCGTTGTTGTAACATTTTAATTTCAACAATAATATTTCTATTTCTATTGTAATTTGGGTTTCCTTCAGTGTCAATAAATTGCTAACTGACACGGATGTGCAATACTAAGGAGAGAATATCTGATATTAAAGTTAATCTAAACCAAAATAGAAATATCAAATATTATATTGAAAGCAAATAGACAGGTACAACCAACACACTTGATAGGGAAAATACAAAAACACAATGTCCGATAATCCGAAACAGCAACTGACACAACATGAACACTTAACTAGGGTGGATCTCAGATGATGGTGGTGGCCGATAGGGCTTTGGAGAGGTGGTAACATGGGGGCTGATGGATCGACAATGAAGAAATAGCGGCTGGCGGCAGTTATGAGCGGCGGGAACAGTTGCTAGGTTGCGAGGAGGTGGTTCCGGCAGCTGGGACAGCAGTGAAGCGACACTAGGATTGGACTTGGGCGGCTGGAACAACAATGGCAGTGCGGTGGAAGTGTTGGAATAACGGGGCTGCAAGGATGCGACTCAGGTGGTTGGAACAGTAGTGGATAACAAAGCAAGGGTCTTATGGGGTTGCGACAACAAGGCAAGAGGCTTGGAGAAGGTGGACGCAAGGTTGTGGGTAGCTGGCACAATAGCAGAGGCTTTGGAGGAATGATTCTGGGCAATTGGCAGTGAACGGGCGGCAGTTGGGAGAGCAGGATTTGTAGGAAGACTATCGGGAGGCAGCTGTCGAAGCGACTGTAGTGAGTAGGAATGTGTGGTAGCGAAATGGGAGGGATGCGAAGGAGTTGGAGAAGGATAAACATCACTTCGGGAGCTAAGATCAACCAGAAAACGACTCGAACTGAGGGTGGGGAAAGAAAATTTGGAGGGGGTCGTATGTTGGGATGCTGGAAACTCTATGATTGGATTTGGGTTTGGCTAGCTCTAATATCAAATGATACCGAAGGTAATCCAAACTACAATAGGAGAAGTAAATACTATTACTAAAAGAAATTAGACGGTTATAACTAACATACTTGATAGGAAAAATCCAACAACACGACACCCGGAAATATGAAGTAACAACTGACACAATACAAGAACTTGGGTGGTTGTGTTGGCCGACAGGGCTTGGTAACAAGGGGGTGGGTAAATCGGACATAAAGAAGCAATGATAAGGGGCTGTTCTAGGTGGCTGAAACATTAGCTAGGTTATGGGGAGGTGGTTTCGGCGGTTGGGACATCAGTGAGGCGGCATTGGGAATTGTCTTGGTCGGCTGGAACAATAACAACAATGCAGGAGAAGTGTCGGTACAACAATGAGGCTGCTGGGATGCGATTGAGGTGGTTCGAACAACAGTAGACTACGAGACGAGGGGCTTATGGGGTTGCGACGACAAGGCAGAAGGTAGGAAGGTTGTGAGTGGTTGGGGCAATAGTAGGGGTGCCAGAGGAATGACTAAGGGCAGCTGACAGTGAACTTGGGAGGAGGAAGGAAGGTTGTGAGTGGTTGGGACAATAGTAGGGATGCCAGAGGAATGACTAAGGGCAGCTGACAGTGAACAGGCGACAGTTGGGAGAGCAAAAACTGCAGGAAGACAACCGGGAGGTGTTTGTAGGGGTGACCGGAGCCAGGAGGAATGTGTGGTAGCTAAGCAGGAGAGATGTGAAGGAGGTGGAGGAGGATAATCGGGAGCAAGTTACAGTCAGGCACCACTCGACCCTTGGAGGAGAGTCACCACCTTTAAACAAGATACAGTCAGAGCACCACACGCCCACTCGACTCTTGAAGGAGAGTCACCACCTTTAAACGAGATACTGTCAGAGCACCACACACCCTCAGAAACTGCAGGAAGACAACAGGGAGGTGGCTGTAGGGGCGACTGTAGCGAGGAGGAATGCGTGGTAGTGAAGCAAGAGAGATGTGGAGGAGTTGGAGAAGGATAAGTGTCACATCGGGAGTGAGTTACACAGTCAGAGCACCACTCGACCCTTGGAGGAGAGTCGCCACCTTTAAACAAGATACAGTCAGAGCACCACACGCCCTCAGATACAGTTTTAGAAGGAAAAACTTGGACCAATACAAAACACACGAAAAACTGCAAGCCAAAAAAACGAAAAGCAAATATATAAGTCTATGGTAAAGAGGAGTGTCCCCTCACAATGAGGCGGTAAATCCATGTATGGAAGGTCGCTCGACCCTCAATTCGCTGTTTTGAACCAATCCCATGCGCCACAAAGAGTTTTTCCAGTCCAATCCAGGAGTCGGTCGCGAGATTGTAACATGGGTCGCGGTACTGTAGCAAATGTCTGGAAAGGGATCCCATGCTATACAATCTCGCATCAATAAATTTTTAGCAAAGGGCATTAGTGATTCGGCTTTAGTTACCCAATAGTTGCTTCAATAAATGATGAAAAAATTTTGGCCACTTAATATGCCTACCCTCACTATGAAACACATTTAGACGTTGTAGAAGGTTTACGCCTTCTTTATCTTGTTTTTAGTTTACGCACGTACTCATTTTTAGATTTGGATAGTGCACATTTATCAGAGCACGTGAGAATGTTCAGTTTAAAGGTCTTTCAACTTCAACTATTTGCTCGAGTTTTTCTCATGAAAATGTAGGTAATTTTTTCACTTTTTACCATAAAAAATTGCAATCAGCCCACTTGCATATATGTATTTTGGATCTGGTTGCAATAATTGCAATTTAGTGACTTTAGATTTTTTATTTTTTCTTTAGTAGAGGACCGTTGTAGTTCATTTTCACGTTCTAATTCAGTTAACTTTGTATTCTAAGAGTCACATAGGTAATGAGATTTTGTTTTTTTCGTATAAGCTCATTTTCACGTTCTAATTCAATTAACTTTGTATTCTAAGAGTCACATAGGTAATGAGATTTTGTTTTTTTCGTATAAGCAAGCTTTCAAATTCGTTGTAAGCCCAATTTTCTTATGTTCAATTTAATTTTGTAAAGCATTAGGCATTGCATTTCAAATTCTCCTTTTTTTTTTCTTTTTTTGCAGTTCATTCATTGAATAATTTGATAACATCTTGATGACTGTTCTAGGATATTGGGGGAGTCTTAAGGAACTTGTGGGCTCCAAAAGAGTTTATGTTCTGAATTAATATTTCAGAATGCATTTGGACTGTAGTTTGGGTCGGGATGAGATATAGGGGTCGTTTGAGAAGAGTGTAGTTTGTGTGCGAGATCTTACTTTTTTTCCTTTGGTTTTCAACCCTCAATATCACACGTGATGGGGAGGATAGTGATGCCTTTTTATGCTTAAATTTTTTTTACATTTATCAAATGTTTAAATGAAATTGTACTTTAAAGAAATATTATTTTCATGTTTATCTTGCAGGTATAACACTTGGAGTCGATTGGAGCAACGGCGTGAAACAGAGGCAAATGGGAGCAAATAGGAGTGTTGTCAGCAGAGTGACGTCTAGGCGTCAGTCATCGCCCATAAAATAGAGAAGGCACCTAGGCGCTGCAAACTAGCGCCTAGGTGCCCGAACTGTCCTGGGGCGGTTTCTACACGCCCTAAGGAGTTATTTAATGCATCTAGACGTTTGGGAAAAGACTTTTTGGCATTTTAAGTTTTGGAATTCTCCATGAAGGCCGAGAGGTCGTAAATAGGAGTAGGAAATGTAGATTTTTACCTTTTATGAAGAGATTGATAAGAGAATTTTGAGAGATATATGTAAGTGATTATATTAGCATCGCGTGGATCAACATGGGACTTTATTAGAGGGATTTCATCTTTCTTTCAAAGGAAAAAACCTACGTAATGTATTCTTTATTATCGTGTAATTATTTTAAACATTGATCCAGTGGATTTGTTTTGATTTAATGAAGTTTTTTGTTGTGTGACATCTGTTTTTTGAAATAGAATTTTGTACTTTTACTTAAAATGATTTGAATGAATGTTTAGGATGTTATGATGCATTTTAGAATAGGTTTTTCATATCATAGTGATGGTTCTTATTTCATGTTTCATTTACTAATCAATCTAGTCAATTGGAATGTTAAAATTTATTGTAAACCTATAAGTTTCGGGAGGGCTATTTGTCAATAGTTTGAGCAAATAGGC